TGACTGACGGAAACTTCGTAACATGAGGCATCCATATACAAAGTATGAAGCATCCAGATCTTCCACCCTCTAAAATATAAAGCTTTTAAGAAGTTAGCTAACGCCGCCGCCGCCGGATCACTATCCCTATGTCGAGCTTTCTGCGACAAAATTCGCAGGCTCGATAAAAATATAGAATACATTTCTGGGTAAACAATAGAGAAAACGAAACTTTTATGGATGGAACTTTAATTTTTGACCGAACTTCTTCAATTAGTTTTCTAATTAGTGGATTTTAAATTTGAAACTATACTCCTCTTGTGTCAATATTGTTGCATGAATAGTCCGAGGAAATGTACAATCATAGTTTATTTAAGCTTGTTTCAATTTGTGTAGACCGAAATTTTATTTTGAAACCACCTGCTGTACAGATTGACTTTTAGAGAGAGTCATGGTTGTTATAAGGAATTTACTCCCATTCTCCATCTTGGAAGGTTTTTGTTTTCATCTGACACAAGCATAATGGGGGGAAAGGTTGATGCTTTTAGCTGTATATAAATAATTGAATGTTTTGTGGTTTTTTAATGTTATGTTTATAAAGCCCAAATGTCCTACTGAAAAAGCGCAGATGTCCTTTTTTAAAAAGCACAAATGTCCTAAAAATTAAAGCGCAAATGTCCTACCAAAAAGGGCAAACGTCTCGCGCCTGTCAGACCAGACTTAATAATCAGAAAACAATGTTTCTTTTACCAATTGATATACAATGTACTTGCAACCAGTTGAAGCGTGTAATCATTTTAATAAAAACGAACGTTAATGCTATCATTTTTTTTCCCACTTTTTTTTTATTTCAACACTTTTCCTTTAAAAAAGTTATTAAAATAACTAAAAACGTGTCTAGATAAGTAGATTTACAAGATAAAAGGACCTTCAGGAGCGTAAATTGTTGAAAAGTAAAAGTATATATGTATCTATAATGCTTAATGCATCCAACCTGGAAATATATGCATGTGTATGCATTTTTTTATTGTAAGGGTGGTTACCTTCAGTTATATGGAGTGCTGTTCATGCGTACATACTTGTATGACAGTATTGGCTAATTTATTGTTTATTTTGTGGATGTGTGAGCCAAAATTTGTTCCTGTGAAAAAAGTTCCAGTGGAACTTATATCACAGGAAATATGTTCTGGGAGAACTTTTTTCACAGGTAATTTCTATATAATTTGTTCCATCTCTATAAAATAAGTTCAACACTTTACCTGGTGAAATAAGTACCAGGTTGGTGAAATTTGTTCCTTACCTAGTGAAATAAGTTCCGGGTTTATGAGATTTGTTCCTTACCTGGTGAAATAAGTTCTAAGTTTGTGAGATTTGTTCCTCACCTGGTGAAATAAGTTCCTTGTCTGTGAAATATGTTCCACTTGTTAAACAAGTTATCTTATATACTGAGCATTTGTCATCAGTGAGTTTAAAGTTATCATTCAAGTGCATTATAAAAATAAGAATTATATTAATAATATAATAGATAAAAAGTGTAAATCATCCAGTTTGGATCCTATGGAGTATAGCAAATGTTTAATTATATACTCTGTAAAAAATATCTAAATGACACTTTTGAACCAGAAAAGATTAGAATAGGAAAAATCATTCAGAAAAAAAGTACAGTTTAAGAGGAACATATGTACTAATTTGAAAAGGACAAAGTGACTTGATCATTTATAAATATCAAAAAACATGTAGAAAAAAAAGACACACTCTTTTGAAACTGTGCCATGTCCTAAGTACATGTATGACTAGAACACAGGGCCATGACAGTTAACAGGAACCAAAGAGGAATACCGCATAAAACATAAATACAAATTATGATACATTACCATTGCTTTTATTTCTTATCTTCATCCTATAGTTACAGTCATGCCTTCAATTGCAAATGTATCCCATGCAAGTACACTCAGTACAGCATTTAGCTTGCATTATAATTTAAGTGTAACAAGAAAATGTTTCGGTGTGCAATAATGATTGAGCGGAACTTATTCATTAGTTTCTATGAAATATTTACATGTTCGTTAAAAACTAATGTCACAGGAACTTATTTAAAACTTTTTAATATTAATTGAAACAAAATTCATGGAGCTATGATATTTGTTCCGGAACTTATTTCACATTTGGCCAAAAAATTAGTTCCGGAACAAATTTTACAGTGCTGGAAAATATTTTCTGTGATATAAATTCCGGTGGAACATATTTCCTATGTCACGCCGGAACAAATTTTTTGTTACAGATGCACTGACAAAAAGGTACCAAGATAACTTTATTTTTACTTGATTGTTTGATCAGTCTGTTCACAATAGCTATACGTCATTGTACCCAACTTAGTGGGGAAATTACCATTCAACGTACCTCGAAAGTGCATGATGCCCAGCTAGAACTGTAATTTAGCTGATTAAGTTCTATTCTCAATCTTAAATTTGTATAAGAAATCAAATCTTATGAAGAACGGACAAATAGACTGATATTGTTATAAGGCACCTAGTCGGTGTGGTATTATGAGAGATTATAATCAAATCCAACGGCATTGAACAATTAAAGGCCTATTCACCAACAAAAGAGAACCAAAATAAGTCATGCAAATCCAGTATTTGCTATACCGGTTAAAAATATAAATTATCCTATAATTAAATAATGATTTGAACTTTTTCGTAGCATCAGATCTTTCACGATCCTTTTCACGATCTTCATTGAAAAGCGGTACGCGATCTTTCACAATCCGAAAAATCATTTTTTTGTAAATATTTCATTTTTTGAAAAATTTCTGATCATGCTAACACAAAGTAACTTTAAAAACCATTTAAATCATCAAACTGGAATGATATTTACAAAGAAAAATGGTTTAGTCATTCGAATTAAGAAAAACATCTGGTTTGTTTACCTTTTTTAATGTCATTGAAATGTCGAGGAGCAATCTGCCTTTTGTAGTTTTGTAAAAAACGGTCTACTTTTAAACCTTGAATTTTCTCACATACTGCTCACAATGTTGAACCATTTTGACAGACAGTTTTGTTTTTTTTAAATTTGTCCATATAATTCATTAAATTAAGATTAGTAATTGACCTTGCATATGTCTTCTCGATTAGATTTCCTTCACTATCCTATACCAGAGCTTTCATGATCCAATCGCAATACTTGGCCACCGTTAGGTATTCTTTCACGATCATTTTTCTCGATATACCAAATGACACCCGTGATCATAGGAAAAATAAACAAGCACAGATAATTTGTCACAACAATATCAATTACAAAATAAGCAGATAAATAAATCATATAATTACAAAATCCTTGGTGTTTTACTTTGATGTATATATAGCACTTTTAATGTTAGAATAAATTAACTTTTATAATTGGTGGAGGACTACTCATCGCATGGTAAAAGCAACATTTTTAAGCATTAAGATACATTAACTTTTGTTTTGGTGGAGGATTACTCATTATATGAGGTGCTCCTTCATTGGAGGAAGATTCGTTTTACAGTTATTTAGGACGACAAATTAGACTTGTGTTGTAAGTAAGTACTTACTAGAATTACTAATTTCTTATTAATAATTAATTAAACTACCGTACTCAAATAAATTAGCATCAAGTAACTCAAATCCTCAATTCGTTTTAATTGCACAACTCTTTTTGAACAATATGTATAAATTGATATATTATCTGGGATTTTAAACAGAAATAAACAATCCATACACGTAATTACATGCAATTCATCAAATATATCTAAATTTTGTTCTAAATCATTTAGCAAAGATTGTTTAATTCAAGCACAAAATTTCAGTTTTGAAAACTAATGACTCGGGCCTGGCCTGCATACACTTTACATTAATGATTACTAGTTTTATCAATGGATCATAAAGTACTGGTAACTTACATGCAATAAAACAGACTTGAAACTCTCTGAGGACCATTAAAATACCATTAAGCAACTATATGATATTTTGCTTTTTGTAAAGTTAAAACAACCAAAAAAGTAAATTATATGAAAATCAATTATCAGCATTGTGTATTTTTCGAGTCTTTACAAATGAAAGGGAGGAATAAACTAAGAATATTAATCTCATGTAAAAGAAGACAAAAAACATAAAAAAAAAACCAACTGTCTTTTGTGGCGACATGTTGTAGAAATGTTTAACTTCAAGAAAAACATACAGCATACATGTTTAGGACAATAACATAAAAATGAAATATGATGATACAACTTCTTTGCACTAGACAAACACACTTAGTTCCACAGGAAGACATTTCATACACTATCCACACATTTTTCTTATTACTCAAAGGGAACCAGCTCTTAAATAGTCTTTTAAAAGCTGTGCTTAACAGATTACAGCACAAAACACCAATTTTAAACAATACCATGAAAGTGGTTCACATAATTTGAGGATAGAACCCAAAGAAATCAATCAGACATTGAAGAAAAAACACCAAACCAAAACAAAAAAATGTTTGAGATATGTTTGTTAAAAAAATGTAACAATTTTATTTCTTAAAAATATTTTCCACAGTATGGAAGATTCTGTTTTCACACTCAAATTCATATTTAAAATCAAAAGAGATTGCTTTATAGGATATAAAGGGTTTTATTGCAAAACTATTTAGATCTATCTAAGATTTTATGAATCTACCTGAATGTTACAAGATATACAATGTGTACTGAAGACATTTGTCAATCTTTGGTTTTCAATGTTTGTAATAACAGAAAAGAAAACTTTATTATTGATAATTAGCCTTCCTAAATGGTATAGTCTTGAGAGTATATAAAGCAATTTCTCTGCAGACATACACAATCCATAATATGTTTACTTTCAACAGTTACCATGAAGGCTCCATAGTCAGTCCAATGATAAGTTCCAGCTATATGATGTTTATTCACTGTAATACTTATCAGCTAGTATCATTATAAGCAACAGAGAGTCAAATGCCATTGTTTTTAGTCTATCATTGTATCATAACAATAATCTCATACTTACAGCTTTTACAGATTCAACTGTTTTGTCTTCAATTTTATTTACTGTATACAATAAAGATGTTGATGATGGATTGGTGTTAATAATCTGAAACAGCAAATAATAAAAGCATATTAGGACGAAACCATGTTAAAGAGTTATAAATTGCTTTGTACTTAACTGGCAGAGCTGGCTCTAGTTCAAATGTTAACAGCTAGGAAGACATGTCTCCTTACCAAGCTATATGTTATCCTGATTCCGAGCTGACCAGTCTTTGCTATAATTCTGAAATGCACATGCTTTGCTCATGATACAGAGAAGTTGCAAATACCAATTTTTAAGTCTTTGGTTTGACCCAGCCTTTGGTTAAATTCATGAACTTCTACACTTAAGGCCAGCATGCTACCACAAGACCATCTATACTGTTGTATACTATAATGGGCTGATAGGTTAGGTTAAAACTTTACTGTGCAATACTAGTAGTAAGTAATGTTGATTCTAATGATATCTGTTGTTTGCACATTTTCTATGAAAAAAATGTGGTAGTGCTAGCTAGCATTGGTACTATAGTAATCAAATACAGAGAAGGATGCAGTAAATATATATCTTTGTATGGCTATTTTTAAGTGTCTGGAGATTAGGAAACATTTGTCCGTTTGACACTTATTATTAATGCCAAAACCTGTAAGTATAGGTCAAAAGTAAAGCCAAAATATTTTTTTTTTTTATCACCCCACCAACCTCCATTTTTACTGCAAGCTCTAAACATCTTTTCATTAAAAAATTGAGTTATCTTTCTTGTTGTAAAAGTATCATATGTAAGCAAAAAAGTGGAAGTTAACTGAACAAGAAGACATGCAAAATTTAACAGTATATTGCAGAAATGTCAAGTAATTAAATTTATAATTTTACTTTCCAGAGATTATGTTACAATCATATATTCAATGAAAAGAAAATTAAAACATGACAGAAAAAAATTGCCAACCAACCTGCACTAATCTTTTTATGGATGTGACTGAAATAAAATGATATTGTCCTAAGGTTCATACATGTCAATGGACAGATGCAAAATCCACTGATCATTTTACAACCATATAACAAAAACTCAAGTCAATATCTGCAGGCACATTGCAACAATTGCAAAAAAAAAAAACCAGTTCAGACAACATAAATTTAAAAGATGGAATAACAAATGGGAAAGAAAAGGATAAAACATTTGCTGCATAGAATTTTGTTGCAAGAATATTTCAATATCTATCTAATAAATTTTTTTATCATTAGAGTTAATAGAGGTTTATTACTGTTGTCTTTAAAGGGAAAAAATCATTCCTTGGGTCAAGAAAGAAGTGTCATCTTTTGGACCTTTAGCATTAAAACTACCTTTTTTTATTCAATGTTTGGAATATTTTGTAAATTCAGAAATATATCATGAAATGTGTACCACTATTAAAAACATTACATCCCTTCTAGCGAAATAATCATTGTATAATACCTAAATGGATAAATTATGATTGATAACAAAATATATATTCCGGTACAAAATTACAAAAACAGATTGTTATCAGGAGACATAAGTAAAAAATTGACTTAATTTGAAAATGAAAAACATGTCAAAAAAATGTCAAGGTATTACAAAAAAGTGGGGAATGTGTCCATGGAACACAGGTGATGCCCACGCTTGCATATAACGCTGAAAAGGGACATAACTCGAGAACGGTAAAAGTGACGCCACCCAAATTCGAACTTGATGAGTGTTATGTGGTAATAAGCATTGTGTACAAGTTTCATAACATTTGGTTGAGTCAAACTAAAGTTAAAGAACTGAAACCAATTTTGGGCGTACAGACGAACATACAGACAGACAAGGGTAACACTTAATGCCCCCTCTAGTGACTGTGGGAGCATAAAAATAATAATCATAAAATACTCATACAATACTTTTGCAAAAGAATCTTGCATTATTTACTTGTCTTTGATGCCGAACAAAGGTCACAAAAGACAATATTGCTCCGCCTTTTCTGTTCTTTTTTGAGTAACAGCAAAATTTAACATGAAAATACAAATAAAATTTAATTCAAATCAATTAACAAGAGTTGAATTGGGTTTTTTTTTAAGCAGGAAGATGGATGATATTAAACAAATGATAAGAGATGACATTGCATTCACTTGGGTAACATATAAAACAGATAACAGGTGACAGCATTGCTTACATTGGTCCTTTGTGACAGATGAGCTAAAAGCTTAAAAAAAACACTTACTTAACTGTTTAAAAACGTTTCTACAGATTTTGATTACAGGTATAAATCCCAATATTCAATAAAAAAAAATAAAAAATTTAAAATATTGTATCTTTCTGACTCAGCATGAGGCACCAGATGCCATACTGAAAATTTACATCTAATTTCCATAAAAGAAAATTTACATATCATACAGACTGTTACCTATCTAATCTGGCATATATCATGAACTAAGCATTAAAAAGACAATCTTTCTTAATAAACATCATCATTTTTGCATTTTCTGTTTAAGAACTTGACCTTCAAATTATGAGTAAAAGGAGATGTAGGTGTCAATGAGAGAGAAACACCTTTAACAACAGATAGATTTTTGTAGGAATATGGTAAGCTCTAAATTGAGTCAAGTTGTGACTTATTAAAGACAGCTAACCATCAGCATCAAATCATTAAAGGATGATAACACTTACAATATAACTTACAAAAACAACTTTTTGACTTGGAACAGCATATTTACATGTGATAGGTTCAACTTCAACTTCCTTTTGAAAACTCAGCCCATGCCTCCATTTTATCATGATTGTTAATTCCATACAAAACATACAAAAAAGCCAAAACATAATTGCTACACCTCATTGCAGCAGTAAACATCTAAGACACAGATTATTACACACAAGTCTGCCTGTTTGTTAGTCTTGTCAAATATTTAGATGAAAGATGAATTCCTTGTGCTCCACTTAGAGACAGCTTCCTGTTCACAAAACACACTTTATCAAAACAGGATTATGAAGTATTATAATTGTCTACCATGATGCTGATTAAGAGTTTAGGGAAATGGATTTACCCCCTCACCATTTGATGTAATTCTTGCTTTTAAGATATTCTGCAATTTATTTCAAGAGCTTTTCCAAGCAAGAACTTTTTCTCTTTAGTCTAATGAAATTGTTCAAAGGGATCAAAGATTTTTCTTCCTGTTAGTGAAAACATTTCCATTTGATAGAATGATGTAAATCAAGAGAATTTAAATTGACAACATTTTACATTTCAAACTTCTCTTAAATGGAAAATGCAGTCATGTTTAAGGTTCAATTATCATGAAGTTAAAACTCTACCTTACCGTACTTTCAATGTTGTATGGTATTTTTGTATGCATGTACTTTTCTCGTTTGCCTCCAATATCAAAATGTCAACAATTTAAGCAGTGCTTTAGTACTTCCTCAATAACAAATAATAAAATATGGTAAGTGAAAGGTTCATTCAATATGGTTTACTATATTCAAATCCATTCTTTTAGAATTCAGGAATGATAAAATTTCAGAGTAACAAAAGTACCCATTACATCAGTTAGCTACACTATCTTTTATAAAGATTTTTTTATCAACTATCAAAAAAATATATGTAACCTTTCTTTATTCCTTTAATAGGAATTTTCACATTAAAGTTCTTGTTAATCAATACATGAAATAGACCTACACCAAATGAAATTAGGAATTATTGTATAATTATGTATAAACTGATCCTATCTGGGGTGGCAATTGGTTAAAAAAATCTAATGAGATATCTAAGAGGATTTACAGCTTAAATTGAAACTTAGCACGATATCTACAAGAGACTACACACGGGTTTCAAAATCTAAAATTTCCACAATTCTTTTGTCAATTTGGAAAATTAAATGTACCGCACAAATATAAATGTCATAACTGAGATCACTTTTCAAATTAGAGAGTTGAATTGCCATCAATAAACAACTTACACCAAGCTTTCCACAGTATAAATTTTTAATGTCCTTTTGATTACATAATGACTCTGGAACTGCCGTTTTAAAAGAAACATAGCTACTTAATTACTGATTTACAGAGTTAAGGCTATGTAACTGGACATTCCCATTCTCTATTTGGTTTATATGACAATGTAAGAGTTAATAAAGAATAAATCCCATCTATGATAACATGGCTGCATCATATATCTATCATTTTACAATCAAAGCGTCAGTATAAAACAATTCTACAGGGAAAAAAGTTGAATAATTTATTAAAGTGTCTATAAATAAATACCTTATCATATGAATATTTTAATGTATAAGGCCTATTAAGATTAATTTATTTTTAATAGAACAATTCTAAACACAGCTTGAAAAAAACACTTATATATCTTTAAGGAGGCATTAAATATTTATTATCTCAGTTGAGGTTAGAATTTTGTTGTAAACTTAAAACAGATCTTTTGCTTATGCATAAAAAAGTTTCTTTTAACAGCAATGCAAGGTGAAGTATATCTTTCTACATATAAAACAATTTAGTCAAAGGAATAAAGAGAGCATATTTTTTTATATATATACAGGGCAGACAACAACAAAAGTTCAAATAATTCTCATTAATCCAAAAGTGATAAGGTCTAAGTGTTAAGTGTAGCCCCCTCTGTTTAAACAAACTAATAGTCAGTAAGCAACACTGGTTCTTTATGTGTCTGTCACAAGTCAGGAACCTATTATTCAGTGTGCTGTGTGTCATATTTGTTTTTCCTATATTGTTTAAGAATAAATCAGTCAGTTGGTTTTCTCTTTAGTTTCACATCTTGTCATGCTGGGTAGAGCCTGTTATAGTTTACTATATGGTTAGGATTTTGTTTATTGTTGAAGGCTGTATGTTGTGGTCTCTGATGGATTATTGTCTCATTGGCAATCATACACATCTCCTTATTTCTATATTATCATGTTACCAGAGTCCCTGAGGTTAAGAAAAAGTATGTAAAATCATAGAAATTGATAGATGCTTTTTTAAAAGCTATTGCTCAATACTTCTTGGTGCTTTGCATTATAATCTGGAACCAAAGTGATATACATTTGTACAAATGTACCAGAGAAAATATCTCAAA